TAATTACATTACATTGCATTTAGCTGACGCTTTTATCCAAAGCGACTTACAGTAAGTGCATTCGACCAGGAAGATACAACTTAAATGTAAAATGTAGTGGTATTTATAATGCATAGATCTGTACTCTGATCTTTCTGTTTAAGTGCTTGTTGATGAAATGAGTAGCTGCACAGAAACTGCACATGGAAATGAGCTAATAGCTAATAGCTTCTCTTTTTGAGATGAATGTACATGTATGCCTGGTCCTTGTTTGATAAAGACATCATGAGATGATCCTCATGTTGTTGGTGTATTGCAGTCTGCACACACATGTGTACTGTGGGTAAATGGATCTCACGCACCTGTAGGACGCTCAGATGGAGAGCAGAGAACATAGGCCCCACCTCCCCCTCTCTCTCTGTAATGCCATTGGTCAAGGCCTGCTTCTTGTCTCCCTTGTCTCCCTTGTATGCTAGGGGGGCTTTAACGCACCAGCGCATCAAGCCCCCTAAAGGTGTGACATCCAGTGAGCTGATTGGGTGATTGCCGGAGAGGGGCGTGTTCAGGAAGTTGATGAGGACTAGACGAGGGTCGTCTTGGATCCACGACACAGTCATCTGGAGGAGTTCTAACGGGGGGGTGAGCTCCTCTGAAAACACACGCAAAGATAAGAGAAGGTGAATAAAAAGATGAGAACATTGTGAGGAAACGTTTCAGGGAATTCTCTTGTTTAGATAAAGCTATTGTACATATGCAATTCAAATGGAAGTGCATTCATTCCTATGGGAACCTCTGTGATCTTCATTGATTTTGCAAAATTCCTCCTTTCATAATTCTTTTTGTCAAAAATGTGCCTGAAAAATGTGAACATTTATCAGAGTTAGCTAGCATTTTGGGCTTAGCATTTGATGCTAATGTCTTGTGGACTGGGCTAATAGTCAAATAATGTTCCCATATAGCTGACACATACAAGTTCATTCAGTTATATGCAAACCTCAGTCATCTGCTCTGACTTTGATCAGTGAGTAGATGCAAAAGTGAAAACTTTAGTGGCAGTTTAAGGAAAGACCATATGCTAAAAAAGTGTGTGAAATAGTTGAATTGTGTAATTGCATAATAAAACAAATTCAGCTAGTTTAATTAACACTTGAATTTAAAAAATGTTATTTTTGCTAAAATTGCAGATGGCTAGCACAGCCTACGCCACCCAAATCAAAGTTTGATAAAAGTGGGATTATTACATTAATTTATACTTTCTATTATTCTGTAGTTGTGGTCCTGTTTCTGTTTGGCAATGTTCACACGAGGGAGCGTACAGCATACAGAATTACTGTCACAAAACTGTGTGGAAACACAGTGCTAGTCAACAAACAATTGACTAACTGCATTCCAGCCACCCAAACATTTTTTTACAAAGGGAAAATCTCTTTTTATCATTTTTTAGGGCCCAGTTTTAGATGTTCTTTGGTGCTTTGGTGTTGTCCCACCTGTGGTGAGGTCGTAGAGCGTGGTGACAGCCGTGATGAACTGGCAGCAGAAGCGCGGGCTGGCACTGTGGATGTTCTGCAGCGTGGGCCCAGAGCCCGGCACCAAGCTACAGTAGTCGTCTACGAGAACCTGAGCCAGCCGCACACAGTACACACGGTGCGTTCTCTGGGGACACAAACAGAGTCATGTTCAGTACATACATTTGGAGTTAGAAGGGAGTTGAAATATCTCACATGACTTTGAGTACTCAATCAAGACAAGCCTCCGCCTCAAGGTCTAAGCTCTAAGACTAAAACTGCATAGAAGTGTAAAAACTGTTTAAAAAAAGGTATAACATGCAATATATATATATATATATATAAATAAATAAAGCTATTTATAAGCTTCGCGTTGGCCGAACCATGCCCCTTAGCTGTGATATAAGGATCATATATCACGGCCTGAAGTGAGCTATTGCTTTCATAAAACGGTTACAAATTATGGCAATATGAAAGAAAAATACACACTAACAATTTAAATAGTTATTAGTAAATAATGATGTTAAAACTAAAATAGTCCCTCCGTTGCCTTCTGCACAAAACATAATGTGAGGTGGTTGCTATGCAACAACACTAACAGCT